AACTTCTGAGTTTTGATGTAAGATTAATATTCATGACCAAAAAGTGTACCAGAAAAAGGGATGGAATTTAATAGCAAAAGAATATATGCAGAGGAAATATTTGAAGCACATAACTACTTGTTATACGTAAAATCATAAATGAGGGAAAGAAAGTAGAGCTGGGAAGACAAAGAAACACTAGTGGTTCCAGATCAGGAAAGTGAAAGGCAAATATAATTGCAATACTGGTCATGAAATCCTGTGAGATAGTCCTTGTCAGAATTCATTGAAAATCATTGGTGTGTATTTTTCTGCTGCTCAACTTAAACAAGTTAAAAGTCAGACACTGATTTTGAATTGAAAAGAAACGTGTTTAAGGGTATGTACATTGCTAGGGCTTGTATTTGGCTAGCCCCTCAGAATTTCATGGGATCATGGGGGGTGGAGGATTTTAAGGTGGCCCGATTAGGGTGTGTGCATGTGGATTACTGGTGTGATACTAGAATGAAGGGTGTGGTTAATGGAAGCCCCATCCTGGTGATAGGTGGCACCAGTCAGCAGGCCTGTGATCTAGGTAGAATATAAAGCAAACAAAGAAAGGCACTCACTGCTTTGACTGCTTGTTGTCTTCCTCTCCACCTTGGCCTGAAACTAACTCTGCATTGTGATGACTTAGATCCTTGCCTTGGAGCCAGGTAGCTAGGCTAAGAGCTCCATGAGCTATGAATTGGAATGCACCTTTCTTCCTTTAAGGCTTTTCTTTCTTTCTTTTCATTTATTTATTTATTTATTTATTTATTTATTTATTTATTTATTTTTGGTAGTACTAGGGATTGAACTCAGGACCTTGCACTTGCCAGGCAAGCACTTATTCCACTGAGCTATCTCCTCAGTCCACCTCCTTTAACTTTGATTGTGGAATATTTTGACTCAGCAATGAGAGAAAAGTAATTAATACACACATCTGCCTAGGAAAATAAGTAATGCAAAAAAAAAAATGGATGCATTGCATGTATATATTCTTAAAGACAATCAGTGATACTTTTATTGTGATTTTTTTTATTTTCAGAACTGGGGATTGAACTCACACTCTTGTGCTTGCCAGGCAAGTACTTATTCTACTGAGCTATCTCTCCTGCCCTAAAGGACCCACTTTTAGAGAATTATTTGTCCACATTCAATGTAGCTGTTAGAAGGGAACATGTCCATCTAGCTTTTTGCTCTCCTTCTAGACCAATTCTTCAACCTAAACCTTGCTGCTCTGTATTGTAAAACAGCCATGACTCATAAAGGGCACAAATGAGGTGCAAGTTAAGGTGCTGGGGTATAATGACAGACAAAGATGTTGGCTTTGCAGACAGCCAGGCTTTGGCTTCATTCTGAAAGGTGACCCAGAATGTTTTTCATCCATAAGACAGAACAAGGGCTGGGGATGGTGGCAACCTATTGAATTCCAGCACTGTGGGAGACAAAAGCAGGAAGATTGCAAGTTCAAGCCTAGCCTGGCAATTTAGAGACACAACATGGGAGGGGATGAGGTTGGAGCAGAAGTCCTAGGTTCAGTCCCTACTACTAGAAAAATAACAACAACAACAACAACAACAAAAATAAAACAAAGGATGATAAGAGGATTTTCTAGGACTTTTTTCAGAATTAATGTGGTTGCTAATAGTTTCTAGAATTTTGTAAGAATTAATGAGATATAGTAATACATATAAACAACTTGAGTCTGGAGCATAACTGGCTCTGGAATAAATCAATATCACTTATAACTATTGTTTCCTCAAAGATGAGGTGGGAGTGGCAGGATGAGATACAGTGGATACATTTTCAGGGAATAATGATATATATGTAGTCACGGCCATCACACTTGAGTGGTATCTGCCAGAACCAGTGTGGTAGATTTTCTTTCTGTTATTGATCTTAAACATTCACTTTTATAGGGGAAAGTCTAAATTTCAGCAGTCATATACATTTAGAATTCTTCTGCCAAAGACAAGATTCAATCCAGATCTTCTGGCTTCAGGTTTAATGTTTTCTCTGCTACTTTTACTAGGAAAGAATTTTAGCAGTTTCTATATAAGTTCTTGTTTAGTGCTTAAAAAGGCAGTCTTCGAATCTTTCAATCACTGAGCCAAAAAAAAATCACAAGAATTATATTTATCTTATAAGATCTGTTTCCAAACCAAAAGGGAGTGTTGATCTTGTATATTTGTGAGGAGAGAAAGCCTACAAAACCTGAGTCCCCTATGCATTTATTCCTAAAATGAAGGTATACTTCACACTGCAGTTGTTTCTTTTCTAATGGTTAGCCATTAGTAGCTGATTTGTAATGCTTCCAGATATTTTCTCAACTGACTAGTTATTGCACCTGGAATTTCACCATTAGGATGGAATTTTATCATTAAGGTATAGTTTTAAGAAAGCTCTTGTTTTCCTTCACTGCAAAGGGAAGATGGTAAATGTATCCATAGTTAATCGGCACTGATACTTTGGATTCTAGTTGCCTGTTCTAATGGCCCCCTTGGAGAGAACAAGCAGATACCACAGAAAAGCAGGATGTGGCTGCAGAGAGTAAAGTCATTCCAAAGTCTGGAAAGTGGAGAAAGCTGACACTTTCTGCCACCGCCAGGAGGGTAGGCAGCAAGGAGGGGGCAGGCAGACAGAGCATGTTAGGGTGATTTAGTCCCAGGGCTATTCCTAGAAATGACTTAGAATTTTTTCTTACTCTAAATGGTAAATCCCCCAGGTTCTTATACTCAACGAAGATGTAAAACTAACAGGTCATGTGAAGCTACAGGAGTATTTCTTCATCACTAAACATACCTAACTCATTACAGTTTGAGTGTTGCATAGTTCTGCCTAGCCTAGTCAGTAATTGATCAGTGTATGCTGAATGTGTGACACCATTCATGACTCTGCACCCTCCTCAATACTTTAGAAAGTGACTCAATATTGGAAGCACTGAGATTTTCGTAGCCTTTCAAAAAGGCCCAACAAAGTTGTGAAAGATGACTCTTGTCCACCGGAAAATATTTTCATGATGAAGATATTTTTAAATCTGTTCTGACAAAAACTGTAACTACTAGCCACAAGTGGGTACTGAAAGAGAGATAGACTAAGGAAATTGATTTTACTCTGATTTTATTTCAAGGAAAGTAGTTACACAAGGCTAACCTATATCTACTACCTTGTATAAGTCTAAAGGGTTTCTTAAAACTATCCTGCCCTTTTAACTTTTAAATGTAATTGTTATAAACATCATCGTTACACATCAGTCTTCTTGATATTTTACCTTTTTAAAAATAGAAATAATTGACTACCTGTGATGACTCTAACCACTAGTACAGCCAACCAAAGTGGCTTGAACAGCAGCACCTCTGGGGAATTTAGGTGTCATTGCGGGACGATTTGTAAGATGGGGTCAATTTCTAATTTCAGCTATTGACATAAAAGGAATGAGCTTGCCTCTTTGAAACCGTGAAGCACGAGAAGTAGGTAGGCCCTGACAAGCAGGCCTTTCAAGCTCTTCTTCCCTTTGATAGCCTCCTCCCCCCTCAGGAATCTGGCACCTTCCGGATGCCCCCTGGGTGTGCAGGGCCCACTGTGGTGCTTTCCGATTGCTTTCCCTCTTCGTTTCCGGGAGTGCTGCCTCCCTTCGAGAAACTGAGACACTGAGGGATGTGTGTGTGTGTGTGTGTGCGCGCGCGCGTATTAATATTACATTTGTAGTGTGTGCTTGTTACACGCTTTCTTCCATGATCAGTAAAACGTGCTGTCTGCATCAATGAATATTAACTCTGTGGCAAATAAGTGGGATTGAATAATTTTTTTACTAGATGAAGCAGATAGCCCCATACCACAGATGAGAACAATGAAAATTAGAAGAGTTATGCGACTTAAATGACACACACATTATTCTCACCATGAATCATTTTCTCTTCTTCCTTTTTTAGCCGCTTGCCTGGTCGCTCCTGTTCTCAGGGATTCTGCTCCCCATCCTGCAGAGACCCACTAGCTAAACTGACCAATAGTCATACAAACAGATGCAAACCTATTGATAAAAGCTTCCTGCCGCCCCTTTCCCAGGGTTCTTCAGATTTTAACGTCAATCTTTTGGGGACGGGGTCGGTTTACAGAAATGGCTCCCTCGGAATTTCATGCTGTTCAGGAGATATATTTTGGTACTTTAGTGGCATTAAAAAACATTCCACAGCAGATATTTTCTTGGCGCCTGGACACTTACATAAAAGAGATCCATTCATTTATAAATGTAACTTCGACAGGGTTTGCACTTATCTAAATGTTGTGCGGAGTAGACTGATTTGTGTATCAGCTCCTATCACTACGTTTGACTTGTAAGACACGTTAAAAAGAAATAGGCTCCTCCCTCATGTCTTCCCCTCTTCCCTCCCCTCGGAACCTTCTACGCTTCAGAGTAGGGTATAACGATTTAGGAGCATTTGGAAAGGATTAAAATACGGCTCTGTGATTTTCAACACAAAGACCACAATCGGCGCCGGAGCACAAGTATTTAAAAACATCACATCCAGAAGTTGGAGGGCTACAAAGTACAAGTCGTCCAGCCCAGTCTGCAGAGACTGTTCCTGCTTCCGCCCTAGCAGAAGCCGTTCGCGCGACGCGTCGCGTTGAAGTCTAGCTGCAGAAGAGAAAGAGCATCACCTGCAGTCCGAGGCACGGGAAACGCTGCCCGGAGGGGCTCTGGGAGCCCGAGAGGTGCGCGCTGCGGGCCTCGGGGCTGCTCGCGAGCTGAGGGCTAGGACGCGGCGGGGTTGAGAAGGGCAGACGTCTGTCTCACGGGGGGACGGCTGCGGCCAACCCGACAGCTGCGGTGAGCAAGCCCGCGGCAGCCTCGGCGCCAGCAGCCGCAACTGCCCGGGAGGCCGACCCAGCGGGAGAACCCCATCCGCGCCGGGGCGCCGGGGGCAAGGCGGGGCGCTGACGTCACCTCCCCTCCCCCAGCTCCTCCAAGAGGGAGGGAGGGAGCCACAGAGGCAGCGGTCCGCCGCAGCTCCCGGCCGCAACTACCCAACTCGGCGGCTGGCTGCCCGGACATGTCCTGACAAACTTGGCTTCTCCCGGCCCTCGCGCGCTCTCTGGCCTCCTCCCTTTGGTGCTCAAGTTTCCTCCTGGTCGAAGGAAGCTCTGGAGATGTGGCCACCTGGGTCCCAGGAGTGCGGGCGGATCGCACTCGGGTTGGGGATATGTTGAAGATCGGAGGGAGTCAAAGTTGGCGCTTCAAACACCGCTCCTAAGAAATATCCCAACCTCGTGGGCTTCACCAAACTGCCAGGAGGGCTGGAAAGCGGAGCACGGAGGAGCGGTGAGTTCTTTGTTCAGCGCATGCCTTTTTGTGTTTAAGTTTAAACGTAAATGAAATAACATGGAGCGTTTGGCTCTAAGAGTGTAGATGTGTGTGCATCTTTTTTAAGGGTCTCCACTCCGGGCACTGCACACACCTCTAGCTGTGCACCGCTCGGAAAGGAAAGATCTGTAGAGTTTTTGGAATTCATAAAATACACCCAGTGCACTGTTCAAAAGAACTTGAGAAGCAATGCCGTCTGTGTATTATTTCGAATGTAACTTATTATAGAAATGGTGCCCAGGGAGGGCGCATCGGGAACCGTGGGATCTGCAGTGGCGCAGCGCCCTCTAGTCCGGGCAGCCGGCAAGGCGCGCTGCCGGCGGATTCCACGCGGACCGCGAACTTGGAGCTGCTGAGCGCTCCGGGACGTGGGCGCAGGCGAGCTTGGGCGCCGCCACTGCAGCCTTCCTGTACCACCTACCCAGCCCCTTCCTTACAAGGTCTCCAAAAATCAGTTTGGGTGAACTGGATCCAGAGTCCTTGCTGGAGGAAAGGGTTTTGTTTGGGAACCGTTTTTTTTTTTTTTTTTCCCTTCCCACTAATTTCCTTGAGCCTTTTGGAGACAACTATTTAAAGGGCATCTGTGCAGCCTGAACCACAAGTCTCTCTTTTATGTGGGGATAGCTAATGGGAGGCAAAAACGCACCGTTGTTTCTTTCTGTTTGGGCTTAAAGATCGTAGTAGTATCATAGGAGCAGCCTGCATCTGTGGCTCTCCGTAGATCCTGTGGTGAAGAAGCCCAACTTGTTCCAGGATTTTTTTTTTTTTTTTTCCAGTGAACTAGCAAAAATCGGGCGTCTCAAACAGATGTTTTAGTCCTAGTACGCCCTAACATTTATTAATAAATGGTAATTTTCTCCAGAAATTTTTGTATGCTGTCTAAAAAAATCCTATGATTTTCATGTTACGGATGTCTTTGCACTTTTTACCATTCTTTCTTCCATCTTCACACATTACCCTAAGCCCTTCGTCTCCCGATCCCTCAGACCGCTCGGCTACTGTTCTTGTGTGGCTGGGTTTTGCTGAGGGTTAGAATTTGGCACGGGGTGCAGATGGCTTGAGCTTGGAGATCGGGTCACTCACTTCTGAGGCGTTCAGTGTATGAAATTGACCTGTAACGCAGGGAGCACTTTGCGCAATTGTATCTGTGACCAAACCGGTGTTTGAATAATGGTATATTTATTGGGTATGTGAATTTTTGTGTATTCTAAACAGTGATCAAGGAATATATTGCTAGAATAGGCACACATTCTGCAGCCATTATATTTTCTTCCCAGTTATAACCTGCTGGTCACCTCTTTCTTAAAATCAACCTCTTTAGGACGGCTTGTGAAGTAACCACTTTAACTTTGAATCCCATACGCACTCTAAACACTGTCGCCCTTTTCTGCCTCGAGCTTCGCCCTGCATTTCCCTCCTCCCGTCCCAGGGTTAAAAAGGTTAAAATGTTCGAGCTCCACAGAACACGAGGCCGGGTCCACTGTCGTCTCCCGGCCGTGTCCCGAAGCCCCAGAGCCTGACGCTCGTCCCCCGGGGGCCCCCGGACAGCGCCGAACCGAGTGCCTGGAGTGGGCTTCCTTTCTCCTAGGGAATTTGTAGTTGTTCAACTGGATTTTTCAGTTTGTGTCTCCCTCCCCGCCCCCTCCCGCGGAGTTAGGTCTGAGAAACTGCTTGAGGCTGCTCGGCTGCCTTTCGTCCCGCAGACTATCGTTGGGTTTGTCGGGGGGGTGGGGTGGCGTGAGGTGGGGGACATTGGTCTCGCCGCCTGGCTCAGGAATCTCTGTGGTTTCAAACTCTGCACAAAGAGAGCGCGAAGGGAACGTTTCCCTTTCCCCACAACTTACTGTAGATGTCAAGGAAAGTAGATCGGCTCTAACTACATTTCTTTTAGATCTGTAGTGTTTTATCCCCCGAGCAGTTGGCATTCAAATGCAGATTCAGGAGTAATTTCCTGAAGGTTCTAAGAACTTAAGGGATGCGCGGGGGAGCTCTCTCCTCTTGGTCTTAGGCTGACTTTCTAATGTTTCCTCTTTCCTCGAGGGAACATTCCACGTTAAACCTTTCCACCAGTGCGCGCTGGCCATAACTAGCCGCGGCTTTAGAACAGTCCCCATCTGTTGTTCCTCGAAGTGTCGCAAGACCGCCCTGGGCGTTTACCCTTCTGTGCGCCCGGTGCTGGCCTTTGTAGGGACTGAGCTCTTGACCCCGGGCAGGGCGCCGCGGTGGCCCGGACCCGCGGGCTCGGAGTCCCGGCGCCGAGCGCTGCCAGCTCGAGTTTCCGCGCCCCAGGAACGAGCGCCGGCGCAGGGAGGCGTGGCCGCGGGCGGAGGGATCCGCGGGCGCGGAGGGAGCGTGAGGCGCCGGGGGCCAACGGAGGTGCAGGGCAGCCCCGGAGCGGCGCGGGCTGCGAGGCGGCCCCGGCAGCATGCGGACGTGCGGGCCCAGTGAGGTCCCCGGCAGGCCCGGCTCCCGCTCGGGGGCGCGCTGAGGCGACGAGGCGTGCGGCTCGAGAGCGCCGCGGACTTGGAGCCAACTTTGCAGTAAGTTCGCTACAGTGAAGTCTGGGCTGCGCGAGGGCGCAGCGCCGGGCCAGCCGTGCCGGAGAGGAACCGACTCGCTCTCGCCGGCGTGCGGACCTGCGGCCGGTGGGTTCCTTCCCTGGCTGTGTGGCTCAGCTCAGGCTCGTGCTCCTCCCGGGGTCCCTGGAAACGGGGAGGAGGACGGAGCCCGGCTACGCCTGCGGCGACCCGAGTCCTCGCACTCGGGAAGTTTAGTCTGGGCGCCGGCTTCGGGGCGGCTCGGGAGGACGCGGGGGCGGAGGGGGCCTGGCACCGTGAGCCGAATTGTAATTACCGAGCTGCGGCTGCGGCCAGCAGGCGGGGACCGGCGCCTGCCCGGGCTGGTTCTGGAGCCGCCGCCGGGGACCAGGGGAACGACCGCCGTCCGGGCTCCGGCGTCCGGCGAGCTCTCCGCCTCCTCCCGCCCGGGACGAACCCGCCAGCCCCTGACTCATTGACTTCGCACCCAGGCCACTGCGCACTGACACGAAGGGGAGGTGAGGAAGGCGGTGGGCGCGTGCTCTTGGATGGTTTGTGTCCTCAGGAACCACGGTGTTGTGTCCCCAGGGACAGGGTCTGTGTCCTGGGCAGCATCCCCGAGGTTTCAGTGCAGCTGATCGCATGCAGATTTGGAGAGGTGAGATTGGTTGGGCTCACTGTTGGCAAAAGGTTCGGACAGTTGTTTCTATGTTCTATGGAAGACAAACTTCTAAGAATTTATTGAAAGAGATTCTGATTCTTGAGTATTTGTTCTGAGGATGCTGTCCTTTAGGAAGCTACCTTTCTCTTGGCTCTGTAGGCCCCCACACCCACTTAAATTGCAGGGCTTTGGAAATAAGGATGCAATTGACTATGTATTAAACTCAAATACTTTCTGTGCACTTAATTTTTTTTTTTTATACGTCTCTGAACTATAGTTTCATTAAGTGGTTTTTGTTAAGCAACTCCCTGAAGCCTGGTAGAAAAGCTCCCCCGCTCAATTAGGTATTTATAGTTAACTATTAGAATTGGAAAATATTTAAAAGGCACATACACAAAAAAGGCACATAACCTTCAGATATTTATTAACCTTTTACAAAAGTGGATTCCAAATGCTTCACATATTCAGTATTGAGTAATTTAGAAAGATATTTACGTGTGCTAAATTAGGCAATATTTTTGTCTTTCACACTACCCTGGAAGAGTTTTAGTCATTATTCAGCTCATCCAGTTGTTACAGGTACTCCTGGAAAAGTGTCCCCTTCTGCAGCTTAATTTTGTCATCTGCTCTTGAGCCTTAGGAGAACAGCTTTGATTTCCAAACCAGAACTGTTCCTCTTTTTATGTATTTCAGGTTGAAAAGTAAGGACTCTTAAAAGACTATAGTTTTTAAAAGTAGCAATTGGTATAACTCTTAAATTATGCCCATGTGCCACTTAAAAGGCTCAGTGTAAGTTTTAAGAAGTTTGGGCCTGTGCACCCATTTCTTGAGGAATTAACATTAGGTAAGAACCACATTGTCACTGTGGAAATGGTCGGGGCCCCTGTGTAGTGTGCTTGTTCAAGTTTTTTTCACTGAGGTGTATATTGGGTTGTGATCATGCCAGTAGGCCATTTAAATTTATAGTAAAAATGTGGATACAAATTAATGTCATTATCATTGCCTAATGCTCAGCTTTTCTAGTATATGTGTCTTTAAACTTAGCTCTTGAGCTGCTCTGAAGTCATCATGTCTTTTTTCTTTCTTTTTTTAAAAAATGTATTTAGTTCAGAGTTTACATGGTCTCACTACACAGATTAGACTCACAGTGATCCTCCTGTTTTCAGCCTTCCTAGCACTGGGATTACAGGCATGTGGCTACATGCACCACCACGCCCAATGTCAGTTGCTGTCTCAGGGTGCCTAGGGGGTGGGGCCCACTTGGGATAGTCCCCTGGTCCCTGTGCCTGCCTAAACAAGCATTTTACTCTGCTGAACTATCGGTCCAGTGCTTCATTTCTTTGAATATTAGAAATGGAAGGGATTTTTAGAGATTGTCCTTACTCTCTTACCGGGTCTACTACCATCTACTTTCCATCTATGTTTGGCTGGTTTTGCTTAGAATAAATAAATCAAGCCAAATTAGTATGGTTTTTCTCTCGTAAAAGCTGCCGCTGTGGCCTAATTTGTGGCCTAAAGGACCTGGTTTAGAAGTTGTAAGGCTTCGTGTACATTTTAATTTTTATGAGTGGGAATTAGCAGGGGTGTGTGTGTGTGTGTGTGTGTGTTTGTGTTTGTGTGTTTAACACACTGGATGATAAAACCAAATTCCATCTTTTGGTCTTGATTGCTCAGTTTGCAGGTGTCAGTTTATCCTTAGACCGTGGAAAATAATTCTTTTGTTTAATTTTTTTGTACTAGGCGTTGACCTCAGGATCTTG